GAGAGAGAGAGAGGAACAGAAAAATGTACTCTAATTCTGAAGATATCACCTTTAAAAATTAAGTTATACTAAATAGAAAATTGTTTAATATATTCACTTAATTATTATTTATTCTATCAATTAATTATTTTCTAATATCATTATAAATAAAAAAGATTTATTATTTTTCTTTATTTCCTTTATTTTCTTTCTGATTAAATAAAAATATTTTAATTGCTAGGATATAATTATTGAATGAATAAAAAAAAGAGAAAAAATTCGAATTAGAATCGAACTTAAAGAATTATTTTTAAATTTAAAGAATATAGTCTAATAGCAGGCGACATTAAATTTACATGTCTCAAATCAACATCGACATGTTACCTGTTTTTACATTCATCATGAAGATATCAGGCTGTTAATGACGTGCTGAAGTCACATTCGCACATCCCCATTATATACATTACATCGATAGCAATTGTAAATACGACGCGTAATCAACTTTGTTCGAAAAAGTTAAACAAATTCAGTTGCATTAATTAAATTTATTTCAAGATAATAACATCCATATAAAATTTAATGGTTCTACGTTGATTAAAAATCAATTAATTATTAATTGATTTTTATTTGCTTAATAATTTTCCTGCAAAATTGATACTATTTGCATGTGTGTGTTTGGAAAAATAAATAAAAACACGTACCTTTTCCACTTTCTTCAACGCCGGCATGGGCTTTTCGACTTCCTTCAGGTCTACCTTCTCCTGCTCAGCCTCTTCTCGTGCCCATTTCTGATATTTCCTCTTTTTCAACATAGCACGGAAGTCCATGCCACTGGCGTCTGTCATAAAATTCATAACAAATTAAAAACTAAAATTAAAAATTAAAATCTAAAATAGCGAACAACTTTGGTGTCATCATTTTAATATTACAAAAATTAAAGTGTATATCAAATATTAAATTAAACATAATAAAATAACGCTGAAATTTCTTAAATATGAATAAACCAAATGGAAAAATGCGCTACGTGTATTTATTTGTTATTCTTGTAGAATTGAGACGACTCACCGGAAACGTAGAGCTGCATCTCGGCAGAATCCTCGCCGTGGATGTTGCTCACGACGATCTTGTAAGTGCCCTCGTCGTTGGGCTTCGTCTTCCTCATGCAGAGGGTGATCGTATTGGTCTCCGAGTCCGTGAGGAACTTGAAGCGTCCACCCTCGATGATCTCGGTGATGCCCTTGTAAAATTTGAAAGTTGGCGCGGGCGTACCCTCCACCGCGACGGTGAGATACGCCGTCGAGTCTGCAAAAAAAAATAGCTCGTTTGAATACTAAACATGAACTAGAACATGAAAAGATTACGCATCTCAAATGTCATCTAAACATGATCCCAGAAATTTACGCACAAATCTAATATTATTGCTGTTAATTGTACCAATTTTGAGGGAATAATCTTTTCAGAATTTTAAGGACCAATAATTCGAGAGGAAAATGCAATACCTTCGACGGCAGAATATGATTCCTGGACATCGACGATCTGGGGTGGTCCACCTGGCCCGACATCTCGCAAAGGTGTGCTAGGTAAGTTGATCCTATTCTCAAGGTCCGCCACGCTGGGTCTTCTGATGTCCGCTGTGCTCGGACGACGACGCTACATCATTCAAATGAGAATGTGAGCATACACATATTTACATACATTTTGCTATCGCATTTTGACGTAGGCATCGAAAGGCTTTTGAATAAAAGCGAGAATATTTAAAGCATGGCGCGCGACGACTTCCGCCAAACACTTCCGCAAAATTGTATTGAATTTTATTTATGATAAATCGATGTAATTAGAATCAAAGAAACGCGAAGTGACATATAAATATTTCATATACAATATTACATATATATAAAAAAAATAATAATTAAATGACTATTTAGTTACCTTCTACAAGAATTTTCTTTGATTTTAATTTCCTTTTGTAATAATAAACATTGTTTTTGTTATTTCTTAAATTATTCTCTAGCAAAACAGAATTGAATAAACAGTAAAAAAGTATAAAAGTAAAAAAGTAAAAAAGTGAAAAAGTAAAAAAATAGAAGTCGCCGTTGTTCTTTGAAAAATCTGCAACGTTCATGCGATTTTACATATTTCTTTACACTTTAATTATTTACATTTAATCATTGTAAGATAATGTTATTTACGAGTAAGAGTTAATTCATATAATTAGTCAGCGTTACATTTCAATCATTAGTTCACTGTGTGTTAGTCACTGAATCGAGTGAGTTTTAATAATATTAGTAACAACACTAAAATTCATTCCTTTTCTCAAAATACATTGATTAGCAAGATGGGATAACTATGGGTAATTTCACATGATGAATTTCCGACTTCCATGGCAAATTCTCGAATGGCCATTACGATTTCAAGGATTTTTCTTACTTAATTTCAACAATAATTTTGCAAGACAAGCTAATTGTTTAATCTTTAATTTAATTAATTTTTTATATTTTACGTTTATATTTTCAGTGAAATATTTTAGAAATTTCAATATTAGCTTACTCGTCTTGCATTTTTGTATGTTCCTTTTGGTTTGTGTGCAAGGAAAATGATTAAATAAATAATTAATTAAGCATATAAAAATTCCTTGAGAACGCAAAGTCGGTCAGGAAACAGATAGGAAGTATATTAATCAGATGAATAAGAAATTGGAGAAAGCAGGAACGTAATTTTAAAAATTCTTGAAAGATGATATGGCTGTTTTATAATAACAGAAAATATAAATACGTCGATCTTGAAACAATTTTACATAATTCCTGCTTTCAACTTTAAAAATAAAACATTACATTATGTTTAATAATTCATTATTTTACGATGATATGAATATATGAAGATTATGATATTCGCGCGTTGATGCAAAGTCAATGCGTGAAATCGTGATAAAAGGCATTTGTCATAATATATAAATCGCAAAATGCGAATTATGAGTTACGCATGAGGGATGAGAATTTAAAGCTGGAATGAAATAGTTAATCATTATTAACATGAAATCATCGTCAGTCAAGAGACTTTCAGACGAGATTAAATTGCGCAAGAAGGGACAACTTTACGGAATAATAAAACAATAACAAATTAAAATTAAATATTACTAAAAATTAATAATTACTTTCCGTTTTAATTATCTACACCATCACAATATTATATTACAATATCAAATTGTATTTTTGTATTGTACGTTTTGTAATTGTCCCTACTAATGCAATATAATTTTATTATATGATAATCTATGATAGGATCGTTATTCGCGATATTTTTGGCCTGTCCTCGCAAACCGTCGATGTTAGAATATGAGAATACAAAAATAAAGTAACAAAAGATACGGAAACTTGGGAAAAAGAGAGAAACATAGAGTTAACATGATGTATATGACGTGAATGATTATTTTGATTGCTCTGGTGATGAAATGACCAGCTTACTCCGTGAACCAATCTGATCCTCGTTACGTCAATTAAACTGCCCATATACGAATATTCGTCTAACGAGAAATTCAGTGATCAGGATTATTTACAAAGAGACACGTTACAATATCTACAACGGTGTACAAATACGATGTCGTATATATTTATGAATCAGGATATTGTTGTTTTTTTTTACTTTTCCTCTTAAGCGACATCGTATTCGTGATGAAAATGAGAATACTCCGATCAAATCTATTTGACACATATAGTGTGAGCACAATGGATATTTACACCTATACATAAAATTCTACATGAATACGTTATTTCACACATATATATATATATATATATATATATCTCTGACATATAAGAGCAAACTGCTCGGTTTCAAATTTATCGTAGCGATGTGCAAAATGGCAAAAATAGTCAATCAAAATCTTTAATGTCGATTTTTATTTTTTAAAGAGACAGATTATTATATTTGTAAAATATTTGTCAAGTATATAATTTACAAATAATTTCACAAATATAAATTATTTTAACAATGTATTATACAATCATGTTGATTATTAAATTAATTATAAAAATAACTTTACGGAATAATTTTTTAAACATTCTGTTTCATTTATTTAGTATAAAATTTAAGTATAAAATGTGCATTAAAATAAAGCTGCACTACTATGACAAGTCTGATACCGAGTCGTACTGCAACTACTTAATTTTTAATGGTGGTAGATCTTCACATGAACAATTTCTTCAAATTACTAGGAGACTAATAGGAAGCAATTTCGCTTTTTTCATTAATTATTTATAATGTAAATTAGTCTAATTTCTTACCACCATTACAATTGCATCTAAATTGCATCTATACAGCCGCATAAAATGTACAGGTGTATCCGCTCGAACTAATAAGCAAAATTTCCGCAACGCGGTCGCGATGAACTTCTTCAGGCGTTACACATTAAATCGATCTATACGTATATTTAATTCTAATTACAATATTCACATATAAATCAATGTAATGCAAAAAAACACCTATAAGCGTATCTCGTCGGCGTTAACTATCGCGAGAAAGTGCTCTTTGCAAAATATTTATACAATATACAGGTTTAGAATAATATTCCAAAATTTCGTTTATGCAAAATTCTATTAATTGTACAATTAACCTGTTAATTATACAATTATCTATTTTGTGATCTTAACAAAATATCAAGAAGTTGTGGATTGTAAAGAAAATTTATTTCAATGGAATTTAATTTTAATAAAATTTTAATCTATTTTGCTAATAAATAATTAATTGTCTATAATTAATCGATTCATTAAACGAAATTTTTAGAAATTACTCTGAAATATCCTGTATAAATAATTTTCAAATTTTAAGCACGCAATAAATAAGAAAATAATATAAAACGATATAACGATATATGTATAAACGTATACATATATATATCTATATATACATAATACAAAATAATATAAAAATATACATATGCGTACAACGCACAACAGAGATATTGTGCTAACCTCTTTTTCTTGCAGCGCGCCTGGTCGGCCGGGCTTAGTCTGTGTGTGGTGCGTGAAAAAATAAAAGATGAGATAGAGACAGAAAGATAGAGACAGAGGGGGGCGGGGGCAAAGAAAGAGAGATTAAAGCTCTGAATTCTGAGGGGTTTGGTCCACATGAGGTGGGCTCTTCTCATGGGGGTGTGCTCGATATGTGGGCGGGAGGGATGATTCGACTTTAAGAGAAAAGAAAACTTAGATTATTGATCAGTAAATTACTTGCCAATGTGCTCTCACGAACATATAATATTAAAAGATATTAAACCGGTATTAAAATTACGGTATTAAACCGTAGTGTTTGAAAAAAATAGCGGCTAGCGTGTTTACAATAGCGGCAGCAACAGCAGCAACAACCTCAAAAACTTCAGTTAAAAACATGTCGCAGAATTATTTTTTTATTATTATTAATATTATCATCGTCATTATCATTATTATTATAATTAATATTATTATTATTGCCGTCCCGCGGTAACGCGTGGCGTTGCTTTTTGCCTCTCTCACCGGGAACTTTCCCTTGCCGAGTATACGTTTTTAGTTTTCACTTAGTTACTGGGTTTTTATTATTATTTTATCGTTTTGTGGGCGACACAGAGGGAGCGATGTACGTCGTTCAAAAATCACGAGGGTTCGGAGGGAGGGTCAAAAAAAAATTCAAAATCCAAAAAGGAAGATCGGAGTTCGAGGGACAAAAAAAAGGGAGGGGGAGGAAAGAAAAAAAAACATAGAGCGATATATAATACAGAAGAATTGCTGGTGATGGTACTCTGAGCAGGTAAGCTTTGTGTTATAGCGAACACAAATCTCACCTTTGTGTCCAACACCTCACCGGGCCGTAACTTTCCCAACTGCAAAAATCACAGAGACGAAATGAGTCAAGTGACTGCTCGTCATCGTAGAGATATTGCTCTCTCATCGCTTTGTTAACACGCGGATTTTTGTTAACACTTTCCGAACGGATTTACATAGAACATCAAAATACCTTTCCTCTCTTTTACAAGAAACAGTTGGCGAAAAAAAGCGATTATTCCAAAAATAGACGACAAAAATGCTCCTGGCGTACTGGCTTTGCTTTGTCATCCTGTTAAGTTGCGCGAGAAACTGATTCCTCTTGCCGAGTTAAAACAGATGGGCTGCTTTTATTATTCGCTCGAGGCGCGGAATCTCGGTAAATCTCCGGAGGACGAATGAAAATTGGGGGTGGGGGTGGGGTTAGAAGGACGAGAGGCGAAGTACGCGGTAAGTAGACGAACACAAACGGGGGGGGGCTGGTGGCTGTTCAAGGCTCGCCTTACCGACGTTGCGACGGCTCGTGCGTTTTGCATTTCTGTGCGATGCATTTGCTATACAGGACAGTGCGATTCGGCGGTGCGCGGTATCAGCTGACACATCAGTGAATTTAAATGCAACCAGATCGCGCGTGATCGCATAAAAGAGACGGGTGTCTTGAAGAGAGCGAGTCGCAAGGATAATCTGAGAACTGCATCTCGATTATCTCGAACCTATCACCGTTTCCACCGGATTCTTTATTACCAAATCATCCAAATTTCATTTTGTAATTTTATTATATAATTTTATCGCGATTTTTGTATATAATTTTCGTTTTGCATATATATTTATTGGAATCTTCCAATGCAATTATTATATGTAAGTTTTCACATAAAGACTCAAGATAATCGAGATAATAAAGAAGCGAGGGCGTATCGTACAGCCTGTTGTATCATCACAACGTTATTTCAATAAAATTATTCTTTCATTATTATAACTATTTGCTCGATAATAAAGTTTATACATAAAATATAAAAATTTTGAATAACTGTTATTTATATATTTGATATGCATAAATACTTTTATTGACGTACTGCTGTTTGAAGCTTTGTTACAAAAATTTGAAAAAAGATCTTTAGCACAGTGTGACGACTTAAAAAATTTATTCGAGTGCGATTGATTAGATGTCTGACATTTCCACTTTCGTACAACAGAAATACTCGAATTTATCTGATTCGCGGACCGGTATGCAGAATAGTAATTTAAATTGTTTAACGCTGGCAAGAGCAAATGTTTCACGCGGGCGATGAGACGGCCCGATCAAGCATGATTCATACATTCTTGTCATGTTACTCGGGACATTTATTAGCGCCGATACCTGTCTACGGTGGCACATTGCTTGCCAAGATCGCTCGGTGATCTATCGGGTGGAAATGTAAGCCAGAGAAAATTCGAAACCTTGTACGCGGACGACGGCAAGTTGATGCGCGACAGACAAGCCCTGGCTTCCTTCGCTCCCCACATCCCGTATTATTGATTAATATTATTGTTGTTATTGTCATCAAGAATGTGCATAGATTCGGGTTGCAATAGATTCGTGCCAGATGCAGAGATGCATTCCTGTTTTACTCGCTGGTCAAATTTTAGATTACGTATGTCGAAACACCGAGAGGCACGTGCGAGAGTTTCGCCCAGACTATTTCTTTATTTCAATGAATGAAATGGAATTTGGTAGATTTTCGAAATTCTATCAAATAAAAAAAGAAAAATGTGTTCTTTCTTTGAAGATAGAGAAGAAACTGGAACTCTCCCACGTGAAGGTTTGCACGGCATCGCCGGGAATTTAATTCGCTTCTGACAATACGAAGCTTCCTCGTTAATCAAGTAAGTCAAATCATCATTGCCATAAAGTGTGTAAATTCGAGACGACGCGTGCGGATTTTTTCGTGCATCATGTGCCATAAAGTACGACCACAGTGAGTAAATAGTAATAACGAGCAGGCAAGATCGAACAAAGAGAATCGTGAATATGAGATTTCAGATGAGATTTCCGTTTGACAGTCGCAAACGCTCGTGAGTATCATTGGTCTTGTATAATACAAAATGAAATGATTCTAAGAGCATTGCGAGTCAATAAAAATGCATCTTTCGCATCTTTAACAACAAAATAAATAAAGTTCAATCGTTTTCTTCCACGACACTCGGACCGATTCTCTTCGCGCGATACTCCGGTGAGTGTGTATGAAAGAGTGTGTGAGAAAAGTAAGTAGAATAAATGCATTTGGTAGTCGAGTAAGGTTGCAGACGAGACATTCGCTTCCGCGATTTTTCTCAGCGATTTATCTCACCTTGCGCTCGTCCACCACCTCGCCGGGACGAAGCTTCCTATGCTCCTATGGACCAAATTTCTATTAACCACTACTGCGAAGTAAAAGTGGCTGTATGCGCACGTGTGTGTTTGTGTACGTGTGTGTACGTGTATATATATATATATATACACATGTACGATGCTGCAACATGTTTACATCGTTTAATGCGATCATTTCGATCGGTCGGCATCCGTGCTACTACCCCCTTCGGACGTATCAAAACGCGTTCCTCGCGCTTTATCTTTATCTTGAAACCGAACCAAGTCTCGGGAAATCGGCTAAAATTAATTACATCAAGTTGTGCGTCTGCTTAATTTTAGTTACTTTAATTAATGCTTTTCTGCTATTTTCACTCCTGAAAGTAGCTCCGGTTGTAGCAGTCAAGCTAAAAATATTTATTAAGGTTGTAATCTAATTATAATTCAGAAAGATTTAGAACAAAATGTAGAGATTTTATCTCGAAGTGACGAAGTATCCGGCGGACGAGAAACGCTTTCGATCGTCGCTCGGAGGTAGTAGACCACATATAATCGGTAATTATCCGTGTTTCTTCGACGTTCTTCTTCATCGGGAGCATCGTTTAGCTCTTCGACTTCTCGCTTTCCGCAAGTAGAAGTGCACCAATCTCAGGACGTCCTCGATATTACGCATCATCACAGGTTGCTTTCCATTTTCTCTTTCTTTGGAACGTCTTTACTGACCACGGGATTCGGTTTTTATCCGGAGGAAGGAACGAGGAGGAGGATGGGAGGGGGCAGGAGTATGCTTCAGAAGCTGGTCAACTCTGGGTTCTTTCACTGACGAGGGATTCTAAATCTAAATCTCACGCCTTGCTGACACTAAACGCGACGTGCGTCACTCGACGAGCTTGTCGTCGGAGATTCACGGCGCGTGTCTATCACGAATACGACCACTAAGACCATCACTGACTTACACTATAAAACTCAAAAAAAAGCTACAAAAAAATCCTGGAGCCAGTCATCTACCTACTTGTACATCGAGTGTCTTATGTGACTCGTTAATTGTCTACCTAATGGGACTCGTAAGCGCTTTGCACTCTAGAATATATTTAGCGTAACATACTGTATATTACGAAAAATAGGTCACATTACTATTTGACACGTTGAAAATTAATTTGAAAAAAAATTTAAAATCTGTAACAAAAGAATGTAAATTATTTCATTACTCTTAATATTGAATATAAATAATGTTGAATATTTCAATAAATTTAATGTATTTTACAACACATTCTTTTTATGGAATTATTAATTAAAAAAAGATATAAATTCTTCTCATAATTGTCAATATATATTCAAGAGTGCAAAGTATTTTATCACCTTCTTTGCTTTATTGACCTGTAATGGAACAATTATGGAATAAACAATGGCAAGTGAAAATAATTTTGAACAGTGCAGTTATATAAGAAAAGACATCAAGCAGTCTCTAATGAGATTTTAATATTGATTTGTAATTCAATATTCTATTAAAATAGATTTATCGCGTCATTTATCTCTGGATTTTGAAGTTAATTGGAACAATTGTCTGGCGATTTGACAAGATCCTTCTATTAAATTAACACAGTGATCCGATTTCTCCGGCATTAGCAAGATTTTTTTCAAAGCAAGCAAGGTGATCTCGTGAATGCATAAGAATGCAACAAAGTTTTAAGCTAATCGTCTAATTCTACACATATTTATCTACACATAACAGTTCGATAATTAAATTAATTGATGTTTAATTAACTAATGAGTAACAATTCATAAATTAAATTTAAATTATTACATAAACTAAATTTTTCTAAAAAACTTAGAGCTACTTAGAAATTGTCAGTCTACAGAGCTCGAGTAATATTCTTTGCTCTTCTCATCTCTATTGCATTCTTCAGCTTGGTCCTCTACAAGGTAGTCTATATACCTTTGCGATCACACAGTACAATTCGTAACATACCTCGTCACTAATGATCAGGCTGGGCCTACGACCCAATTCCTCGGGCGGTATGAGTGAACCGCGTCGACTGCTAGTTCCGCTTCCGGGTGCTAAAGAACCCTTCCTGCTGCCGACTGGTGTCACGTCCTTGATAACTTCGATCTTGGGTGTCTCGGGAGCTTTGATCTCCGGTAGTTTTGGCTACGATGATCGAAAATTCATCGATTAACAGCTCTTGTTCTCCACCGAGTCCGTAACTTAATTATTGGATTAAGCAAAAAGTTAATGTTTCTTTTAATTTCAATAGTACAACTTAAAATTCCTTCAAAAATTATAACTGTAACTGTAAATTTAATTTTTTCCTCTTTGATTGACAAAAAAAATTAATTCATGTACGTTAAATTGTACGTTTCGTAATTAATCAATTTTTGTAAATACGCGAAAAACAAAAATTACATTTCTTCAAAATCTAATCGTTCGTAAACGGATGAAACTAAGTACTTGGAGAAACACGGTTATGTTAATCCTTGATAACTTTCAGCTTAATCCATTTTTAATAAGTCCTCGATTAATAAAGAGCCGTTATCCAATTGGATAATTCAAAACAAATTTCGCAACGATTTTACCGAATAATCGGGGGATATCGAGGCTCGCGATTTAGCACGAACGCGTACGTAGGGCGATTATGACTGACCCTGCAATTTGAATCCGAGTTGAGTCGGTCGCAATAAGGCTGAAAATAGCGATCGACGTTTTCCCCATCCTCGTTCACGGCACCGACGACGATAGCGAAGACGAGAAACCGATTTCAGGGGGATGATATACGAGCGTTTATCCGCCAAAATAATTCTGTCGCGGGAGCGGCGATCACGCACTGCACAGAAGGCATTCATCGCTTGCCAAGGCGAGATTCAGATCGGTTGATTATTACCCCTTTTCGTTCGTAACCCCCTTCCTCTTATTCGTTCGTAACACGTTAATGGCGATTATGCAGACATTTATGACGCCGGAGTATTTCACGTTTTTTAATGAGAACGAAAAATACAAAACCAATCCTTATGCCGAAATGCAGAGCAACTGACATTTTTCGGACTTCTGGAAGAGATCACACCGGATTTCTAATCCGGAAGATTTTAGAGTTACTCACATAAAAAGTAGTCAAAAATTTTGCGATTAAATAAATATAAACTAATTAAAAAAATAAAGACATTCTCAAATATCTTGAATATTTTGATTTAACGAAATACACATTAAATTTCAAGAAATTGTGATATGTATATAATGTTAAAAAATGAAAAATTGTAACAAAATATATGTAATAAAATTGCTTTTAATATATATGAAGTCATTTAGCTGTTTTTGTTATTTGCATCTGTGTACGGAATGTCCTGCACACAAGTATCGTATTTTTAGATACGTACGGTTCTTTAAAAATTTTACCGTCCTTCCAAGCTTAGAAAACGAGAGATGTAAGTTTGCACCTCAGCTATAATTAAACCGTTCGTAAATCGAGCGTAAAAATTAATTATCCTGAACCGCGTATCACGAGACTCGATCAAAAACGCCTTCGAGTGACGTAGCAATTGCGAAATCTGCAGGATTTCTGCGTGCAACTTTGGCAATTTGGCAAAATCATATTTTATCTTCGCGCGTTATTAATAAATGACAATTGCTCACCTTAGATTCGAATTTCTGCACGGCGATATGAAAAGAAAAAACGCATCATTAGTCGAAAATTTGCGTTTAAATTAACTTATTGCTACATTTAGCTTTTATATATCTATGCAACTTTTAGAAATCGTTAAACGTAAAATATATCTGTAACTTTGCTTTTTCTTGAATTATTATTATTCCAACATGATAATTGAGCAATGTATTGTTTTTGTTTACAGAAATTTAATTGTTTCTTTACCTGTGTGGCCGGTCTATCGAGTTTCGTCTTATCGCGAGGAACAAACTCGCCAAACTCGAATTCCTGAGGTTTCTCAAGGACAGGTCTTTCATAATCCGGAATCTCCGGAAGTTCGTAACTCGCCTCTTTCCCTGCCTTTGTTACCTTTGTCTTTTTCGCATCAACTTTTTCTGTCTTCTCGGTTTTCTACGTGGCAAATAATAAATGATGTAAAATCACAGAAAAAAATTTCTAAGAAAATAAATATCAGATAAAATATCAGATAAGAAATGTCACTTAGTTCTCCTTGTATAAGTCGCCAGCAGCAAGAAAAAATGATTATTGCAAGTAATCTTGTAATTAAAGTAAAAGTAGAAGAAAGAAGAATGTGAAGATGGAGAAGATTAAAAGAGAAAGTAGATATCAAAATCTCTTAAAAGAGATTTCGATGTGTCTCTTAAAGAGATCTCATATTAACATCGTTATTATAACATCGTTATTATACGAATAGAATAAATGTAAATCACAGAAGAGTTAGAGCACATTGAAGAAGAATAAAAGATGGGTGCATGAGTAGAGCTTGGAAGTATGCCGCAGTATACATGTATATAAAATATATAAATCAGAAAGAAGATAAGTTTAGAAAAAAAGAACAGTTTTAATTAATTTTATTTATATTAGGAATGTGAAGTGAGAATTATCTTGAAATTCATATAGAAAATGCGCGCAAATATATTTTGGCAAATATATTTCTGTTTAATAGTACGAGATTAGACGCAGATTGAAGTTTAGCGACCCCCTTCAACGGGGCTACCTTAAGTTCCATCTTGCCAGCCTCAGCCTGCTGAGGCTGTTTCGGATCCTTCGTAACTGGCTTAAGCTGAATCCCCTGAAAGGTTTCGGTTTTTACTTCCTGTTTCGGTGGTAAACGGGATTTCGGTTTGGTGGCATCCTTCGGCTGTATTAATACATCGTTGTTAGGAGAAAAGCGTTTCACGTAAGCGATATCGCGATACGTTTCATCCGTCGGAATTCATATTTCAAAAAGCAAGGAGCGCACAAAATGCTATTCTATTAATATTAATCTCTATCTATGACACTAAATTATCTCGTGATACTAAATGGAATATTAAATCAAACGTTCTAATACTAATTTCTACAGCTAACTTCGTTATTGTTTCCATATCTAAGGGAAATATTGAACATTACTCTGAACGATTGCCAACAGATGTGACGAGAGGAATGAAATTACCTTAAGCTCGACTTTCTCTTGCGTCTTCTTCTCTTCTTCGAGTTGCTGAAAGAAATAAAAGTTTGACATTAGTAATACGTACATTTTTTTCTCCGCCAGTTTTAAAGATAAATTTTGGTAATATTTAGAAAACAAAAAGTTAAACATTTTTTTCTTGATTAATAATAATAATTTAATTTATATTGATATCTAAAAATGCGTGATTATATTTCTAATTATTATCAGATTCTACATTCTATAAATTGTAATTACCTTGACGGATTTCAAACTCTTTTTAGTTACCTCCTCTTCTTTCTGTAAACAAAAAACATAAAAATTGCATCTTATCCCCTAATTGTACATCCTATCTCTCTTGACAAAATTCGTATTCTGGTTTAATTCATATTTATATAAACATAAATGTTAGATTATAGTATGCGTATATTGTGTATGTGTGTATCAAATATACCTTTGGTTCTGGTTTAGGCGTAAGTTTCTTTGCAGGTTCCTCTTTCTACAAATAGCAAAAGTTGCTTTAATTTAATGTTTTATTTATTTCTTTTTAATATTAATTTAATTTGTGTTAAATTATATTAATTTCAGAATTATATTTAAAGATTTAATTATGTTAATTAATGTAAGTATAAAATTACAAGCAATTTTTGCGTGATTTTCTTCTTTTAGAATAATGCGCGTATTACTTTTCTTTTAGCAATCTTTTCAGTGTTTTTTTTAGCAAAAATTTAACAATGTGTTAAATATTTTGTGTTAAAATATTAATATATAATTTAGATAAAGAAGAAAGGCGAATATTTAGATCTTAATTTAAAAAAATATTGCACGCAATGTTTTTTTGTTATTGTTTTTTTATTGTTGGTTTAGTAAAAATAAACTAGTATAAAATATTATTATATTATTATATAGTTTAAAGCAAAGTAAATACAAATTTCTGGATATAATTGTAAAAAATACCAAATTTAGATACCAGATTTTTAAGCAATTTATATCTTTTAAATCGATAATATTTGTTAAGATTTGGCAGTGCTTGTTAAGATTTCTTAAAAATTTTAATAATGATTTCAGTTTTGATAAATATGATGTAATATGTATTAGGTGTACCTTTAATTCATCTGGTTTAGGTTTGGCCGTCGGTTTTTCCTAAAAATGTATGAGTAATATTATTTAATGACAATTTTCCATTTATTGTATTGTTTATTGTATTATTTATAATGTATGTTTCGTGTACTTGTGTTAACTTGTATAAGTATTTTGTTTACCTTAATTTCTTCTAGTTTAGCTTTAGGTTTTTCATCAATCTAAAAGTGTTTTTACAATTGTAGTATTTACGTGTAAATGTACAAAAGAAATGTATAAAAGTAAATAAAAATAATAATTAGAAGTGTATTATATATCTCATCTTCCTCTAGTTTTGTTTAAGTATTAAACTTTTTGCTTAATTTTAATTTTTATAAGTAAAAGTATAATTATAAAAACGATACCTCAAACCAGTATTTTTCTTAATTTTTTATATTTTTATCTTACAACTCTTGTAATAAATGTTGGTCGTAATAAATTTTGTGTGTGTAGTTGTAACATAACACAAGTGTATGTGTACCTTTACTTCTTTCGGCATCTCCTAAAAGTGTGCATAACAATAAGATAGTGCTCACTTTTCGTGTCATTGCTACTAGATTAATCAAATTTTAAAAGTCTAACTATTTAAATGTTTCTTTTATAGATTAACTTTGATTTCGATTTAATTTACTTTTTATCTCTTTTTAATTCTGTAGAGTTATTCTAAGAATTATAAAAAAATAAAGAATAACTTAAATCGAGATAAAAGGTAATCTATATCATTGATAGAAATGAATATAAATTTAGCTTTTCTTTTAAACGGCACGAGGAACATTTTATGTACCTTTATTTCATCCGGTTTAGACTTTGATATTTCCTAAAAGTGTATTGCTATTTAAAAGGTGTCTCCTATTGCAATATTTATTATATCCTATTTTCTTTGTCAATCGTGAGCTAGTCTTATATAAATGTATATTTCTGCAAGACAATGCAGATTTAAGAGTACCTTTACTTCCTCAGGTTTAGGTTTGGCTTTCGGTTCCTCCTAAAAGTATATGTGTAAGTTTAAATACTAATATTTTATTTTCCCTAATAATAAATTATGGTGTAATTATTAATAAATTAATAAAATGCATGATGTAAATAGTGTTTTGTGTACCTTTGGTTCGCCTGGTTTAGATTTGGCTTCCTAAAAATAGTACAATGTATTTAATGTACAATGTAATAATGTTCCTATTGCTATCTCTTTCTCATTTTATCGTACTTATACAAGTGTGTATTGTTGCATATGTTATATATATATATATATAGTATATATGTGAGTGTATATATGAATACCTTCACTTCCTCCGCTTTGGGTTTGGCTTTCGGTTCCACCTAAAAATGTTCAAAATGTGTTTATATGCAAATAAAAATGTTTCGTGTTACACGTGGTTAATACAGCTGCTCATTTTTTAAATGTGGCGTGTTTTTAGAAAACTTTAAAAAAAAAATAGCATTATGTTTTGTATATTATACTTTAGTTATCTCGTTATATATATTAGCTGTAAATGTCAGTGTTAAACGCGAACGAAAAAATTGTTGTTATATAAAGTATAATAACAGTATTATTTTATATACCTTCGCCTCTCCCGGTTTAGGCTTAGCTTCCTCCTAAAACGTAATAGTGTTTTTAAAATTCTTGTTAGAGTAGTGTAGATTTAACATTTAATTTTTTATTTCGAGAAGCTTGAATGATCGTATGAAAAGTAAAATGTTTAAAATAAATCACGTTAAAAATTTTGCATATATGTGTACTTTGTGTTTTCATGTACCTTCGGTGTTTCTGATTTTTCGAGAGTTTTCAGATTTGTGGGCGGTTCTTCTTTCTAAAAAATATTTATATATTTTGAAATTTACATGTGTAAAAATATGTGTTTCAAAGTTCGTAAATCTGTGTAATCAATAAAAATATATAGATACGTTATAATTAATGACTGTATAAAAATATTTTTTTCATCATTCTATTCTATTTTACAATATCATAACATCACAGTAAAAAATTACATCTTGATACAATGTTAGTAATATTTTAAAGCACATAACAAAGCAGCAATAGTTAACAACAAATATTTAATTTATTTATAATTATGATACAAATAGCTGTACATATAATTTTCCATATAAAAGAATGCAGAATTTAAGAATTCTTTAAATATGTTTATAATGTTTATAATTGTAATATGTATTGTTGATATATAATCGTGTACCTTAGATTCATCCACGGATTTAGGTTTCTTCTTCTTTGGTTTCAATATTGGTTCCTAGACAATATTTATAATCAACAAAATTGTATATTTAGAATTAAGAAGAGGATAAATATTTAGAAGAAGAATAAGAAGAAGAAAAGTATCAAGAGAAGAAGTAAATAGTTACTGTAAAGAAACGACAGAAGAAAAGACGCCATGGTAAGAGTTAATTTGATGAGAAATATCAATTCGCAAAAATGCGCTTAAATAGCTTCGAAGATCATAACACATAAAGAGAAAGTGAAGAATTGTGAGCATTGAAAATTGTAGATAAAGGAAAGAGAAGATGATTAAAGATTATGCGATCAGACAAATGAAAAGAGTCAACGATTAGTGCTGACAGAAAATGAAGATCGCTTTTATACCTCAGATCCTTCTGTCGATTTAGTCGACGATCTACGTCTAGTGGACACCTTTTTCTACAATTGCACAAAAATATAATAAAATAAAGACTGACAAATGTGTCTTGTGTGAAATATAAGTTTTGCCATTTATATTGTACCTTGGGTATTTCTTCTTTATCAAGTGTAGAATTAGTATCTTTGCTCTAAAAATAAAAAAAAAAAATAAAGAAAACAATATTATCCAAATTTATTGTATTATATGTATTTAAATGTGTTATATTGTGAGAATTGTACCTTGACCTCTTTTGGTTTGTTCTCTCCTATTTCATGTTTGGATATATCGACCTCCTAAAAAGATTGAATGATGAAAATCTATCCTAAAAGCACATTTCGTTTTTCGCAAACGAATAAAAGATGTAAATAATATGAAAATCCTTTATATAAATGACAAATATTAAATACTCGTATGATTGAAATATTAAGTACACAAGTAGAATTACAAATTAAATATAATCAATTTAGATTAAGATAATCATAGATTTTTGCGTCGACTATTGCGAATAAATGAATGCGAAAAATGTGTACCCTTTCTTTAGGTTTACTTATGCTGTTCCTAGGTTTGGACATAGGTTTAGGTGCGGGTGTTGATTCCTGTGAGATAAATTTTCGAAACTATTGTGTATCAAATTGAATAAATGATTTCTACAAATATTATACGAATATGTTGTAAATGTGTACCTCGACACTGTCTCCGATTTTATAAGGTGCAACTTTGATATCTCGCGAATCCTAAAATGTACCGATAAATTATGGTTCATATTGGAAATAACAAAAATAGAAATAAATACAATATTGATTCACGTATACCTCCAATCTTTTAATAGATTTGGGCGCGTCGTCTTCAGTTCTCGAAGTCCAGATATCCTATGATCGCGTATTATTTTATTACATTAATGAGAATGCAATGTAATAATAAAAAAATATATGTATAAATATGCATTAAATGTGTACAGTTTGTACCTCAATATCATCATCAGATTCGTGCGTTTGTGGTTTAACAGTGGGTAACAAAATATCCTAAAAAAAAATCGAAGAAAAAATATAATTGTTTCTCCAATGTGTGTTTTGTATCTAATTAATTTCTATTTTTATCTAATAATTAATCTCATTATACGTGCGTGTATACATGTATGTATGCGTGTGTACCTTATCGATTGTGACAGAATTTGATTCATGCTCAATAGATTTTGGCGCCCATACATCCTAAAATAATACATCAATTTTAAAATAAATAAAATAATAATTTTTATCTCCGCAATAAGATATTATAGATATTATCTATAACTAACGTAATTGTAGTGCGTGTAGTAAGTTTTGACATCTCGATCGAGTAGAGTTTTGTGTGGTGCGTCTACGGAGCGCGCGATATCCTAAAATAACGATGCAATTTACTAAACTATTTCACGAAAATGATTTGTATGTAAGTCTAAAATGTATTAAAGTGAATTGTGTGAAGCTAAGGTATAAATAAAGCGAAGTGAAGTGTTGCATGCATTTGTATTCGTGTACCTCATGGTGTGAAACGCGCCTATCATCGTGTCTCTTCGATTTCGGAGTCAACTTGCTCTAAAATTTTGATAT